AAAAATTTAAACAATAGAATTATTTTGAATAAATCATCGATTCATTACATCTTGGATCTAGTAGCATAATTTTTTGATAAAATAGAATGATTTTAGTAATAAACCAATTGAATAAAAATAGGATAAGTAAAGATGACTATATAAATGGTAAAGAAAATAATAACAAAGTCTTTAAATAAAGCATTAAAATTTAATTGATAAATTAATTGGGACGTTATCCATTTACCTGTCATATATTCAGATGTAAAACTTACTCCTAATTAGCACTCTTGCACCAATGCTTGGTCTCTAAATTCCTAATATTCAATTAATGTCACTGTCATTTCTTCTTACATACTTTATCATTTAAAATCTTTAGTCCAAAATGATTAAAAAAATTTAAAAAAATTAACTTCAATCTTTCCCAAATATCGCATCAAACACTCCACAAGTATTTCAAAGATGAAACTTCAATATTTCTCAAACATCACGTTTAAAATATGCTTTAGCTAGTTAAGAAATACTTTAAAACTTTGTCATATTCAAACAACTTACAACTTACCACCTACCATCCTTCGATCTTTAAAGAATTACTCTCAAAAGGTTTTAAGACACACCCTTCTAATAGTTATACAATAATCATACACTTACTTATTTATATGTGTATAATAACACAAAAACTAGTGACCCAAATATGAAAATTAACTATGATTAATTTTGTAGGGTTTAGCCTCTCCTTCAAACAAAAATTTTCACTCAAACATTCTAACAAACACCTCATGTACAAGACAAAATAAGCCAATACAATAAGTTTCTTACTTTCTTAATCCTTTATTCAAGCCACATAATCACAACAACAAATCTTCACATGGTTCACTAATTTTTAAATTCATTCTTCAAATTATATCCTCTAATTTATAGACATAATTTAGATTTGAAAGACAGGAAAAAAATCATATTATATTGTTCAGCCTTTCATCAATACACAACCAAAAAATGCATGAATAATACCTCCTAGTAGAAGCTCTTCTCCCCTCAACGATTTAGCTAACCAAAACTCTACTCTGTTTTTTTTTCCCCCTCTAGTTGCTGCAGAGAAGTAAAGAAAGGGAAAAGGCAATGATGAACACATACAACCAAACTGATGCAATGAGCAGGAGAAGAAGCTATGATGAATTGAGGAAATATATAAGAGGAATGGAACAAGGAATCAATGTTCTCTCATTAATACTAGTACAGAACGGCGCAAACAGGGGAGGAGGAGAGATATCTGGTGACGTCAAAACGAGAACGAACTTGCAGATACAAATAATCACGGTCGCCAGCGTCGAACAAGAACGATGAAGGAAGACGAACGATGGAGAAACAAGGAAGAAAACGAAGCTTCCGGATTCCAATCAATGATTAAAATTAATTTTTATTAATGATAAGAGTTATATTACACTGTTTTCAAAAGTTGAAGCAAAATATTATTTAAAAAATGAGTTTAATAAAATTTTAGAAGCTCGTGATTTTATAGTTTAGTTGTCAAATTGATATTTTACCTTTTTGTCAACATAGAAATTAAAGCTTTGGTCTTGGTTTCACGCTTTATCAACAAAAAGACTTGCCTCTTGGAGATACGGTGATGCTAGTAGAATAGAAACATGAAATGGGTAGTGTTATGTTTCCCTTTCTTTTTCGAAGCTACTCGATGTGTTTTACTGTCTATTTTGCTTATGGTTTTTTGCATAATGAATTCCAGGACTACTTGTTTCATAATTCTTAGTCGTTGAAGACACTTTATTTTTGAATGTTGGCTTTTGGCTGTTGATAATAACTTTTTGTTATCGCTTTTGTGCCTACACGACACACTTGCAAGTTTGCATGTAAGAAGATGGCTCCAAACTAGAACATGCAGAGTCCTGCATCCAATGCCTGTGGGTTTTCTCCCAATTAGCAGTCATCGCCATTACAAAAAAAGTTAAAATTAATAATGAATCATGAACTTTCCTTGAAAAACACTTTTGGAGTTTACAAAGAATTTGAATTAATAGTTTTGGAAAAAAAATTAATTTAATATAATATTTTCAATTTAAACTTTTTAAAAATTATTTATGCATAAAAATTATTTAAACCACAACCTAATTATATAAATTTTAATTTATAAAAAATCTTCAGCTAATTCTAAAATTATATAATCTTTTAATAAAAAGGAAAGGCATGGCGACCACGGGCCAGAGTTGTTTTGTTAGACACTACTTTTAAGTCATATGGTCAACGCTTTGATTGGAGTCATGTTGGTTGCCTTTAACCAAGAAAGTGTAGTTCTTACTATCGCACTTGATTTCAATATCAAGCTCACTGACAAAACTCTCTCTAAGAGACTAAAAGTGCAAATCTAGATTCATGGAGTTGAACAAGAGCCTAATGCCATCATGGCCACTCTTCACCATTAAATGATCTTTAGACTTCAAGATCATTCATTTGATCTTGGTTTCCCAATGCAATTGGCGATGCTTTGTTTGTGAATGCTAGAAATTTGGAGAATCCCTCAATTTTGCAAATCCCGAAACAATTACCTACTGAACAGCTAGCTAACATGATGTTCTTGGAATGGATCAACAATTATGCGAAACAGTTCCATGGTGTTCAAAGAGACATTCATACTACAAAAATTCCTATCCCTTGCAGGATGCAAGATGGTACTATAAAATATGTTTTTAAGAAGTCTGAAACCCACAGTCTAAACCAGATCTCTAGAAAAATTATGTCCATTTCTCAAGAGAGATAACAAAAGGGGGGGAGAAGAAGAAAAATAAAAAATTTGAATATTTAAATTTTACTGAAACCACAAAAATGATAGACGCTTTTTCATCTTAAAAGATGACAAGTGGTAGATAGAAAGAGAATTAAATAAGGGGAAAAAAAACCTTCATTACTGTGTGCGGAGTGTGCATTCTACCAACCCCTGGAATTAAATACATTTTTTGGCTAGAAAGTATTAAATAAATTTAAATGAAAGAAATGCATATTTAATTAGTGCATTGCATTGTAGAGTTTAAGCAATGAAACTGCATGCATATTTATTAGTCATAAATAGTAAGATTATTAGAGCTTTTGTATTACTCCCTCCGTCCCAAATTATAAGACATTTTTAGATAAAATTTTACATACCAATAAAGCTCACTAAATACACTTTAAAACCTTACTTTTTCAAGACAAAAATATAAACTTTCAAAAATATCCTTCATTTAATACTCCATTGACAAAAAATATTCAAAAGAGATAATATATGAAAAGGATAATATTAAAAAAATATCATTAATGAAATCTTATTTTTATCAAATATCTTATATTTTGGAACCTTGAATCTTTCTTAAAAGTATTTTATAACTTAGGATGAAGGGAGTATTATATATAGAAGATTGTATTTATTAGTGACCCAAAAAAATCATATTTATTATTTTTTAAAAAATAATTAATGTTTATTTTAAATAATAATGCCAAATTTTGTAAATATTTTTTAACTTTGATATAGCAACATTTATTAATGATAGGACTAAGACATTTAACTCATAATTCAGATGATATAATTTGTATAACCTAGTGCTTGCCACATTCAAAAAAATACAAATTATCGTGTCATTTTTTTTTGGAAACATTAATCAAATCTCAACAAGGATAACCAATTAAGCATCAACAATGTAAACAACATATTCATTCAATCACTAAATTCTCTATCAAACTAACCAACCACTTAAACTTTAAAATAGTAAGGATTACCAATCTAGCTAGTTTTATAGAATATTTTATTTCTTTTCTAATCCAAAAATATGCTATAGTAAAAAAATTATTTTGAAAATTAAATAAAATATATTTAGAACATAAATAAAATAACCAAATTGTGAAAAACCACTAGAAAATCACAAGAAAGAAAATAAAAAATAAATGAAAAGAATGTCTGAAAATCAAATTATTTGCTTGAGGAATTAAGAATAAAAAACAAGTGGTAATTATACAAGCAAAAATGAGCATTTTGCAATCACGCAATCCCTAATGTTGTGCCCAGTTGGAGTGGGACCATATGATTAAAATTCTGGTTTATAAACAATCACCATTACTATATCACTCTCACATCTCAAAACAACAGAAATAATAAATCAAAAGAATTGAGGGAGAGAGATATGAGTCTAGCAATCGAATTGAAGACATGGTCAATGATATTAAGCGTTAGATAGAGAAGGCTTCCCAGGGAAACAAAAAGCTTGTCGAATTGGAAAAATTCTCAACATCTCTCTTTATCTAATTTGTGAGTTTTTCCATCATCTGCTAAATCTCTATTATTTTGTATGGTTGTTTGATCACTCATTAATTTTCATCAACCTTTTCCTGTACTGGTCGTGATTTGTTCGAATTTGAAATCGGGAAAATTGATAGGAAAGAAGTGTAGAATTATTGGAAATCCAAATGATGTGCAATAATCACTTCGAGGCTATTTGTTAAGGCTAAAAAACCTAAAGTTCTATGATTTTGAAATTGATTTTATCATTTTTATGTGTTTGATGTTTAAATCTTCATTCCTTCCTTTGATGTGTTTCTTGGGCCAACTTTAGAGATCTGATTTTAGGAGCTCCAATTTTTTGTACTCTATTCCTCAATTTTTAACTCAATTTATTTTCCATTATAGGGTACAATGACTTCAACACTTCAATTCATACTCAATTCTATCTTTCCACGTCCAGTAAATAAAAATTGTCTGGAATTTGTTTTTACTTGATGTGAAATTTGTGTGACTGTTGAACTTTTTATTTCATGATTGAGCTTCCAATCAATAAAATTTTGTGTTCATAAGTATCCTATAGGCAATGCTATGTTGATAATATTCCAATGACTGATTTGAATAAAGATAATTAAGAGTACTTTTGTAAAACTTTATTAATTGTAAGATGTTGTCAGGGTCCTTCTGATTGTGTTTCGATAGAATTATCAAACTCAGTTGAGCTAGAGAACAATTGTGCATCAATACTATTCATCCTATGATGGAGCTCTCAAAAAATAAGTGCATCAAGAATGAAGATGGAGAAGTGAAAACAACGATCAATTCAAGTTTGCTTTCCCGTCTACTTGGTAGGGACCTTTCAATAAATTGTCTCATTCGATGCTCAAGATTCGATTATGCAACACTTGCCTTATTAAATAGAAGTTTTCGATCTCTTATTAAGAGTGGACTATTATACCGTCTAAGAAGAAAGGCAAGTATAATAAAGCATTGGATTTACTACTCCTATAACCCCCTGGAATGGGAGGCCTTTGACCCAAATGGATGCCATTGGATGAGATTGCCCATGATGCCTTCAAATGAATGTTTTATGTGTTCAGATAAGGAGTCTTTAGCTGTTGGTACAGAGCTTCTTGTTTTTGGAAGAGATATATTGTCTCCTATCATTTACAAGTATAACATTTTAACAAACATTTGGTCCTCAAGTATGACAATGAATACTCACAGATGCTTATTTGCCTCTGCAAGCCTCCGAGAAATTGCCATTATAGCTGGGGGATGTGATCCACTAGGCAACATCTTAGACTCAGCCGAGGTTTATAACTCAGAAACAGGAAGGTTTGAGAATCTTCCAAGCATGAATAAGGCAAGAAAAATGTGTTCTGGTTTTTTCATGGATGGAAAGTTTTATGTAATTGGTGGAGTTGATCAAGACATGATGCAACTAGCATGTGGAGAGGAATTTGACCCCCTGACAAGAACATGGCGAGTTATATCCAACATGTTCCCTAGAAAAATTGATGAACTTGTGAATGGAACATCCCATGCTACCATGGCACCTCCCTTAGTTGCTGTTGTGAATAACATTTTGTATGCTGCAGATTATGAAGAACAAGTGGTGAAGAGATATGACAAAGAACAAAACTCATGGCTCAATATTGGAGGACTTCCTGAGCGGGTGGCTGCAATAAATGGTTGGGGATTAGCCTTTAAGGCTTGTGGAGATATTTTAATCTTCATTGGTGGTGTACATGGAAGAATGATTGAAGTATATTCTTGCATCCCAGATGAGGAAGGTTCACTACAATGGAACCTACTTGCCAGCAGACAGTCAGGGAACTTTGTGTATAATTGCACTGTCATGGGATGTTAAAGCTTTTTTTTTTTTTTTCTGTCTTGAGTATGGATAGTGATTTTCAGAGGTATATCAACTGTCTTTTCATTTCAAGTAGATAAAAATGCTTTAATTTGTAATCTCTACCCTTCTTTTGAATTTCATTGGGATAATTTTAGAATTTTGACCCGTGTTCGTGTGATTTCCTTTTATTGCTTTTAGTAATTTCATTTTTTATACACTTCAAAGATGAATCTCAGTGAAAGATTTAGCAGATGCATCTTTTTGTTTAATGTTGTCAATTATGTTTTCTTCACAATAAACAAAATGAATCTTAGTGAAAAAATTTTGTTATGTTAGTCAGCGATTTTAGGCAAAAGGATTAGCTAAGATGGTTAAATAAACAATGATGAAAAGAAAAATTTGTTGTCACTTTCTAGTGGGATATTCAAATGGTGGATGCATGTTATTTCTACATTTGTATTGGAACAAGGGAAGATGCAGAATAGTAAGAAGCTTGGGCGGATATAGTATACATGCAACAGTGAAGAAAGGGATCTAAATCTTGCTCTTGCTTAACGCTGTTTACATTTGTATTCCAAAAAAAAAAAAAAGAAGAAGAAGTTTGCATTTGCATGTCGATAAGCTTGTGAAAACTATAATATGGTTAGGATCATTATCATTTTAATTGTGGTTATTGCATGCGCATTTATGCATTTCTGTGATATTAAGGCTTGCGTGAGGACATTCAAACCTTATGTATTATGGGCAATTTATCCCAATTAGATTGATCCATTCATGCCTTTTAGCAACTTATACATCCAAAACTTCTTCTGAAGGCTTCCATCTTCATCTAACTCTTCACTCTCAGAATCTGGGCAATCCAACCCTTCGCACTTATCCTCAGTATATGAAATTCCTCTACATTGCATGCGCATATATGAAATTCTTCAACATGTCTCTTCTAATTTGCACATAAATGAACTTATCATTATGACTATGATACCTTTCATCATTATTAGAGAAGGCATCAATTTCATAGTCTTCATTAATAGGCAAATCTCGATTAGTGGATTACATACCTTTCCCACGCTCATCATCTTCATGTGCCACTTAATTCTTCCTTACTTTCATTAAAATATATTTAAATCACTCTTCTTTCGGCCCCCATCGTATCATCCTCATTTTTCACTGCATGAACATCTTGTGTGTGTGTTTGTGGGCAATGCTTTTACATATAAGGATGTGTATTCACTGCTGTAGGCATGACTTTTTACAACGGTCAAAAAGGGAATTTTACATTGCAAAGTAGAGAGTTGGATATGAGAGCGTGATAGTATGTCCATTATTTACGTTGGTTAAAAAATTAACAGAGAGTACTCTACGCCAATTTCTTAAGTAACAGATGATGTTGAGTATGCGTTATCTAAGTCGATTATATCAATCAACCAACGTAGATAATACATAATCTACGTTGATTGCTTAAAGAAATCGACAGAGATTGTGCATTTGATGTCAGTTTCTTACAATCCTATATAAAATAACTTTTTTTAAAAAATCTAATAGCAGTTTTCTATTAAGTATAGACCACGCTTGCAATAACAAAATAGAACCCGC